CCTGGAAGGCCCTATCTCCCCATGAGCTTACCGTCTCCCTTGCTCTTCCAAGTGTGAGCAAAGATACATGCAAATCCATGCATGCGCGTGTGTGCGGTCACGCGTGTCTGTATGTAAACAACGAACTACATTTACATTGCAATGTGGTTTATATGATGGAACGTGGAACCTGGCGAAGCGCCGTGCAGTGGCAGAGGAGTAAAGAACTGGTGGTGTGGGTCTGCAGCGCAATGGCACTCAGGCGGCAAAGACGGAAGACTCCAACGGCCATTGGCTTGACTGGATGAACAGAAGCTGAAACAGCATGTAGGACCCCATTTAAAAAGCACATTAGACCAAGAGGATTCTGGGAAGATGGCAGAGTGCGACGCACCAGGACTCTGTCTCCCCGTTTAGACACCAAGCGCAGAATCTGTATGAAGGAACCACTGTGGAGGCTGCCGAGGGCTGGCGAGTGCCCGGGGAAGGCTGTGGTGGTAAACGGCCGTTGACCTGGCCCAGCTTCGGCTCCCAGCTCAGCAGCATCTGCCTCCCGCCACCCCAGCCCCGTGGCAGCAGCTACGCGCAGGTTCCAAGAGCAGGTGTGGGGAGCCGGGGGGAGCCCTAAGGACCCTGCCTTCAACCGAGAAGCCTGTCCTGCAAACCTGTCTTTCAAAAACGAGGGTGAAGTCGAGACCTTCCCAGACAAACAAAAGGTCCGTGTATCCGGTTCTGTGCTGCGGCTGCGGGTCGCTGCCTCTGCTCACAGGCGCGAAGACGGGGGGCGCAAGCCCCTCCACCTCCAGCTGCAGCCGCTGCGAGGGGAGGGACAGGGCCCAGCGCCTTTTTCTCGCCTCTTCGTTTTCTTTTGGCACCCAGACGTAAAAGGACCAGGACATTCCAAAGCACCTGTCCGAAAGTTGATAGAAATCATTTCCATCTATATGGAAGGCCATTATTGTCCCCGCCTGGTGGTGGAAGACACTGAGGATCAGAAAGAGCAAGGAATTTATTCAAAGTCACAGAGACAATAAACTGAGAATCAGGGACTTGAGCCCAGGTCTACTCAAAAGAACATGATTGTTTCATTAACTCAGCACAGGCTCTGTGGGGTGTGTGTGTGCGTTTACAGAGAAAGAGATGGTTTGAAAGAACACAGGCGAGTTCCCCGCTCCTGCCACCCCTGCTGGTGGGGGAGACGGTGTTAAATGGCCGATTGTCCAGCGGTTGGTCTCATGCATCTTTACGCATGTGTTCGCTTGTCGCTGCCCGGCTGTCCGGGCCAGGTCAGCTCTGCTATCATGTCCCCCCGCCTCCCCGAGCGTCCTGGGTTCCCGTCAGAGCACTTACCACAGTAGCGGTTCAGTTACTTGTGCACCTTCCTCAACACTGCTCTCCTTCACGGGGCTGCCAGCTCGTGAGGGCAGGGACCTGTCTCCCTTGGGCAGCACTATGTCATCCTCTTTTTCTTAATGGTTTTATAATGCTTGCTTCACTTTTTTAATCTAATTTTTATTGAAGTGCAGTTGATTTATAGTGTTGGTGTCAGGGGCAGAGCAAAGC